ATAAAGCTTTTATTATTACAATTGGTATGTTCCTGCATAAACAGGAAGAAATATATATTATTATTATTAGAATTGATCCGAAGGCGACTTACTAGATAACTCCAAGTACTGATGTGTAAACCTATGACAAACAAGTATTGGGTCTTTTTATTTGCTCTCTGTAATACGGGCTGCCAGCGAATTATTTATTTTATTGGTTTATAAGATCAGTCTCAGCAGAATTATTCTGCCAGCTACATTTGAAGTGTAGGTCGTACTCCTGAATGCGCATTACAGTACTTCGAGCAACGTTAGCTTATTCAGTAGAATAAACAAGTGTCGATCACCGCTCACTTTTGAGGTTGCTGCAATGAGGGATTCTTCGAATATCTTTGAAAAGGGAGTGAAATTTACACGTCATTGCTTAATTTCCGCTTTTGTTGTGTTATGCGCTGCAAACGTCTACAGGTTACCTTTAATTCAGTTTATTCTAATCGAAGTTAGTTTTACCTTTCAGTTTTGAGTCAATTAAATTATCAAAGTTGTGTTTTTATAACTTAGTAGTTATATATATATATATATATATATATATATATATATGTATATGTGGTGAGAGCAGGCCGTGAGAAAATAAGTACAAGGCTGATTCAACAACTAATTACAGCAAACTTAAACGTGGGCAAATATGATTCGCAGATAGATGGCTCCACTTTCCGAGGAACTCGAAAACAACCAATCAGAGGACTGCGTTTGTCTACTTGACCAGGCTATAATAATGTATGTGGAATTTATATAAATACGTGTTGATTTCCGTAATAAAACGATCTGTTGCCAGCCCTTGTCTTCTGTTGTTACATATAAATCCACTTTTGTGCACTCATTGGTTTTTATTACTGATTAATACAGGTTATTTATATAAGAATAAAACTTGTGCACTGTGGTAGAGTATGATTCCATTATGGGTAAAATTTTGTTTTGATAAAGTCTCACAGTGTTATACAGTAATGTTTACTGATGACGTTTTGAGCACAATCTATTGCCCATAATCATATCAAGGTTATATATAAAGGCCTATTTAAATCTTTTTGGCCAAATTCGCTCTAATAGGCATGCCGATCAAAAGGAACCTCTGTGTCAGGGTTGTGTGCCAATTTCCAGTTGATGGGGAGTGCAGTGTGATGGCTGCAAGAGGTGGTTTTATAGCATGTGCACAAACCTAACTCCTGCAGCATACAAGCGCTGCTGCAAACCTCTGGCGAACTGGCTGTGCAGTGACTGCTGAGTTACGACTAAGTTTCGTATAACGGAAGCTATTGCCACTCTCAGTGGGGGTCCAAAGCTCATGGACTGCAAAGGTCTTCCACCACATAAGAAGAGCGACTACTTCTCAGACATCAATGACGTGACTGGCGCCATCGACAAAACAATACATGTTCCTGATGCGTCTCTGTAAATGAGTGCGTGCTCTTCAGCACAGAAGAGCACCTACCATATTCCAGACAACCCTGCCGCTCCCACGATACCGGATCAGCCCTCCAGTGACAGTAATTGTAAGACTGGCACGACTAAGAGGCACACCAGGGGGCAAAGACCCGCTGCCCAAGTCCCTCAGGGAATTGAAGATGAAGTGGATAGCAAGCAGACACAATCGACTACGATTGGCGAGGAAGACTCCAATGGATGGCGTAATGTAGTCTCTCGCAATAAGCGAGATAAGGACAACTCATCGGCTACACTGCTCATGAAGGACAGAGAGACATTTACGCCGTAGAGCAAGAAAGCCACGGCAAGCAAACCTGATCTCTCTAACAGGTCGCTCAAACTCCACAAAGTGGAAGAGACACTGGCCTCTGATCCCAAGGCCAGATTCGAGCATGACCTTAGCTTGGTCAAGCCCCTTTTAGATAAGCTACTGCCAAAAACAGTATCAGGCATAAAAATACACAGTGCATAAAGAATCGGCTAAAACCTGACCCTACAGCAAATCAGCCTGTACGTCTCCCCAAAGTCGTACTAAACTCCCAAGAAGAGAGGGATGCCATTCTAAACAACTCTCATATTCTTAAAGGATCAGGAATATATGTCCGCGCCGACTTTAGCCTAGCAGACCGCATAAAAAGACAATCTGCGATCCTAGAATTAAGCGAACGACGCCGAAACGGCGAAAAGAACCTTATGACTAAGGGTTTTCTGATTGTCAGAGTTCGCGGTTTGATGATCCCAAAATCTCTGTGGGAATGCCACGGAAGCACCAAATTGAGTTGACATTTTGATGCAAAAACGCCCACAGCCCGTTGAACAAAATGTCTGAGCTGGTTCATATGATAGACTCCGGAAATCCGGATGTAATTATCATCACAGAGATATGGCTCACACACGATATCACTGATAAGTAAGTTAACCTGCCATACTTGGAAGTTCATAGGGTGGACCGCGAAAGTGAGTCGTGCGAACTTCTACGCTGCAGACTTGGATGCATGGGCCTAGACATTGACCTCATTGCTACATACTGCAGTCCTGACTGAAGTACAGATCACTTTCTAATAGAGAAGCTAGGCTCTTAGACTTCGGAATGTCGAGTCTCTTAGTAGGCGACTTCAACGCCCCAACAGTTGATTTGACGAGCCTTACAACTCCATCTTCAGTCAACTCCTTTGATTATAAACTGCTGGAATCTAGTATACCGCTAGCCCTAGTCCAACATATCATTAAGCCCACGCGGTATGACTCACGGCACTCCTCCTCAACTCCGGCCATAATGTTCTCCCACGGTGAGGATATGGATCTCATGCAACGTCTTCCTCCTTTAGGAAGAAGTGATCATGCTGTGCTCACTTTCAAGTTCACAGCAACGGCAGCAAGGGCCAAAACCCAGCTTGAATAAACGTTTGAAAAGCTGGCACAAATGAGATCGTCTCAGCAGCCAACTCAGTGAACTGGTACATCAACCCAGAGTCCCAAGTAGAAGCCGCATGGAACCAATTTAAACAAATTTACGCCCAAGCAACTGAACCTTTTATCCCTTGGCCTGTCCCAGAGGCTCGGAAACTTTGAACCCCTTGGATAAACCGAGTGATTCGTAAGTAAACACAAATGTTGGAACCTGTTCGCCCCACTTGATACTTCCGAGACCAGGAAATTATATAACACTGCTAGGAACAAGGCTACTACAGAAATCCGCCAATCAAGAGTGAAGTTCGAAGCATATCTGGCTCAGAATGCAACAGCATGACCTAAGAAAATTTTCTGACGCATGAACTTCAGGAATAAATCATCCAATGGTGTCCCACACCTGACTATTGACAATGATACAATCGAAGAAGATCAAGAAAAAACAGAAGCAATGGCACACTACTTCTACCAAGTCTTCACACATAAGTCAATCACTCCCTATGGGATCAGCTCTGGCTACATCAGAGGAATACGGGATAGATTCCGTTGACATCGACCGAGGCATCGCGCTCGACTGCTTAATGAAACTAGATGCAGGGAAATCTATGCGTCCTGATACTTTACATCCTAGGCTTCGCAAGGATCTATCAGCCCAAATAGCTGGCCCCCCGACCACAATCTTCAGGCCATCTCTCCTAAATGGAGTGCTACCGCTTGACTGGAAAGACGCCATAGTAACCCCCATCCACAAAGGAGGATCAAGACAAAGCCCTTCAAATTACAGGTTTATTAGTCTCACCAACACTTTTATCAAAACTCTGGAAAGAATTATCGGGAGAAGCATCATGGTATATCTGGTAAACAACAAAATGTTATCCAGAGCACAGCGCGGATTCCGAAGAAACTTCTCATGCCTGTCGAATCTCCTCACTGCAAGAGAAAGCTGGGTCAAATCAAGGGACAACAGAATACCCGCTGACGTTGTCTTCATGGACTTCAGCAAAGCCTTTGATAAAGTTCCTCACAGAAGACTACTCATGAAATTGGAACGTCTTGGTATCAAAGGCAGCTTACTAAACTGGCTCATTAAATTCCTCATAGATAGGAAGCAGAGGGTTATGATCAACTCAAAACTCTCCTCTTGGACAGCAGTAAGTAGCGGAGTGCCACAAGGCACGGTACTCGGACCTCTCCTACCTATTTTGTATATCAATGAGTTATCTCTGCTCACCGACTCCCCTGTGGTCCTATACACAGATGACTTAAAAATTTGGAGAGAGCTGAAGGGCAACAGTGACACGTCTTTGTTGCGAGAGGACCTCAACAAATTGTTGGAGTGGTCCGTTGAATGGATGCTCCCGATCAATGTGGCAAATGTGCAACCATATGCATCGGACAAGCAAGCACGAGCTCCTACGAACTAGAGGGAATAACACTTCCATCAGTTCAGACTCACCTGAACTTAGGTGTCATAATCAGCCATGACTTAAAAGCTACAGCACACTGCCACGCGGTGGCTGCATGTAGTTTCAGATCCTTATGGGCAACTCACAGATCATTTACTAGAATCACCAGAGATATGTTCACCTCATTATATACACCTCTGGTGAGGTCAAGACTAGAAAACTGTATTCAGGCAGCCAGTTCTTGTCTACAAGGGGACTTACACATTCTAGAAAGGGTTAAAAGGAAGGAAACAAGTACGGTTCTTGGCATGACTAATTTATCATACGGGGAAAGACTCGACAGTTTAAATCTCTTCTCCCTGTCATACAGTAGGCAGAGGAGATTTAATCACAATGTTTAACATTTCAAATAATGACCACAGTCCTGACCTCTTCTCTCTTTTCCTTCCCAACATTTCGGAAGGGACATAGCGGGAGAGTTTAAAAGCCAATGAGAAACCATACTGCTGTTGGGAACTGGTTTTCATGCTAAGTCATAAACTGCTGGAACTGACTCCCAGAAGAAGTGGTGTCTGCAACCCCTACTGACTCATTTAAGAAGGGTTTAGACAACCACAGAAATTTACTCGGAAAGGATTAACACAGGCTTTAAACCTTCTGTGCTCAATCAATAAATCTGAAAATCTGAATCTCAGTGTGACATTGAATTCAATGTTGCTGCAATACAGTCAAATTCGCGCAAATTCATCCGATGGCGGGAGGTCACGGTTAGACCGTAGGATGATTCAGAGCGATCATGGACAATGTGATATTTGTTTTGAATCAGTCCCATTTGACAATATGTTACTACTCTCTAGGTGTGGGTGTTCCTTCTGTCGAGAAGTTAGTTTTCGTTTTCGACTCCGTTTTTCACCTAAGAGCTGTCATAATAAATCAGGAAATCCGGTACTTTTCTTGTTAATTCCTCTTATTTTACTGCGATTTCGTGCGTACCTATGGGTTTAGGAATAAACTGACAATTTATAGTCTGTAAAGCTTAAATGCAAGCAATGGATGCAGGGAGTTACTAGGTATTCTATTAATAACCACTAATGATACTCTAATGACAGTAGGCATAGGTTCTCTGCTGCACTGTAATTGGCTAACAAGGTGTTCAAGCAAACACTGGTTTCAGCAGGAGTTATATATATATATATATATCAGTTCCAGCACGCTATCGGATGCAGTAAACGCTAGTAATCGTAGTGGATAGCCTACGTAGTAGAATATCGGCCGTTCACTTTTTTGTTTCAATTTGTGAATATCAGGCCGGACCGGATTTCTGGCATATCGAGATGTGGCAATACTTTCATCAATTTCGCCAGCCGTTTACTAGTTTTGCTTGATCATGTATGCTTTGATTCTCCTAATTTCTGCAAGTGATACATTGAGTTCATACTCATGGTCTGTTTTGTCCCAAAAATTCAAGCCACTCAGTCACTTCAATCGTAACAACCTATATTTTCCACATCTATCTTAACATGGACGTATAAACTATTCTGAGGAGCTAGAATGTGTTGCTGAACTTTTTCTAGAACTGACCATCCTATTAGTAGTTGTTCTGGAACTATAAAAAACTTTCAAGCATTATGACGCTTCCAACGTTGAGCTCAATTAAGGACAGATCTCAGAGTTGTAGTTATACTTACCTGTTGTAACACAGTTACGTTACAGAATAACTGCATGTTCTTAAGCCGAGAAGTGCTATCGTAATTATCTTGCAGTTTAACTCAAGATTCGCTGCATTTATTCATGAGATAGACCGAAGATAATACGAACGCTGTAGCTACTTATTTAATTTACAAATTCTTAAGGATTTACTCATAACTAGGCACATGAAGTCGGCATAACAGATGGCTTGTTGTATTTCTGTTGTAGCCTAGATAATGTCTTAAAATGTTCATGCTTGAAAGATTTACACGTGAGTTCACTGTGATAATAATTCCAGTCTAAATTTTCTCATTGAAATGGACTTTTGTTCTCTTGCAGTGCTTGACATTATACGTTACTTCTATTCTGCGGGATCGTATTGATGTCAGCTGTGCATGTCCAAGTTACCAGTGTAGTCAAAATGGTTGGTTGACGGAATCAGAGGTGAGATAACTGAGTAACTTAGATAAAAATGACTCTAGATAAAGGAATTACTACCCTCTGATGTTTATGAGCGGTTTTCTCTGAAGAAACTTCAGCGAGGTTAGTTAACCACTTATTCTTTGTATCCGTCGTAATATAGAAATTGAGCAAAATATAAATTTGACGTTTTGCCCAGCGGTAAATTGTGGTGCTGTCTGTCAAGTCCCTACTAGTCTAAAGGTGACCTTACCGAATGGTTCAAATCCTCCTGCCAAGGGAAACAGACGTACCATAGAGCGGTTTTCCAGATGGTACAAGAAATATCTTTGCTCTGGTACTCATAATTCTTCCAATTCTGAAAGTGCAATTTTTCGTGGCAACAGCAGCTCCAGGATTCAAAATCATACTTATGAGAAGTCTGTTAACACTGTTACGAGTGAAACTGAAGACCATGTAATGGTACGTACTAGTTGGTTACTCAATAAAATAATGTGTACTGAAGGCTACTTCACTGTACTCACTTTTTGCGCTTCATGTTTTATAATCCAATATTTTTGTTCCTATAACCATTATTATTTTTGAAGTGAAAATGTGGTAGTTTGAAGTAAGTAATGTGGGAAAAGTGCCCACATAAGTTAAGAATACTCCAAAACTGACAAAGCTTGTTAAGTAAACGGTTTTGGTCTTGTCATCGATTCGCTTAAATTTGGCTTTGGTGAGGTGTGCAAGTTGAGTGATGCTGGGCGCAAAATATGATAGTAGAATAGGTAACCATTTCAACGTTTGTAAATGATCAAATGATATATATATATATATATATATATATATATATATATATATATATATGTACCCAGAGAATTATTTTAGCGAAGAAATGTTTTTTGAAACACCGGTGCTGTAATGAGTTATAACTATCCGTATTGTGATTTGCAAATGATTAAAAGATTTGCGCGTCATTCCTGAAGTTTTAACCACATGGACTTAAGTTCTAAAAATTTTTAAACCACCATGATGTCTGTTTACTCAGTATTTAGTGATGGACAAGCACCTTAGAGACTATTTCTGAATAGCGTATTAGGTACATCTTGGGAATTTTTTAGTTGATTGAATTAATTGATCAGTCAAAATAAATTGAACTTTTTAGGATTGAACGTTCAAAGTCTTCCTCTTTTTACCTTCAGAGTTGAGTTGAATGTATATGCTCTAGGACACATTTTGCAAGTGGAATATAACTTTGTTCATTGGGTAGGGGTGAACACGTAAATACTCGTAGTGGTAGTTAGACAGAGGAATGTTATATGCGAAAAGTAGTTTCTAAATCAAATAAAGTTCACAAAAACGTTCTCTTGGATACTTTTTGCACGTTTCATTGCACTTATGTTTGAAGCTGGTGCATGTGAAGAATACAGTTTCCGTAATCTGCTTCAGCAAATTATTGAGAATTAAGTTTCAAATAGTTTGATCTCGTTTTCCTGCCGGAGATAAGTGCATAAATTAAGGCGTCACAATGAAATTCGTCATGATAATCACGGTCTTAGCAGGGAAGATTGAGTTTGATGATAAAATGTTTGTGAACCAGTGTACGTTACCTAGTGCTTCAACTAACTTCAGGATACAAATCCAGCAGATTTTATTACGTTTAAGCTATCTATGTATTTCCATTTCATGTCGTTTCTCAATAGCATGTTTCCCGTTAGCAAACTTGGATGTTTTTTCCTACCGCTTAACAGAATTAGACAACTCAGTTTCTGGAAAAATTACCCTAGTCCTTAAATTGGTGAACAGAATGAGTTTGGAAATCTACTTTCATTTGTTCTTAAGATATATAGGATTCGGATTTTGTGAAACTCAATATGTGTGCATGATATATTTGCAATATCCAATTCTGGTCTACAGAATGGGTTATTTCAATGACGGGTAAAAAGCCCGTAAGCTTGGAAACTTGTGAATGAGTTTTAATTTCATTTTCCTATATTAATTCAATTTTTTTGTTTAGTCACCTATAAACCAATTTATGGAACAAAAGAGTCTACCATTTACCTCTGAAAAGCAACTGTTGACGTGTCAAGTAACTCCCGTTCGTCCAGCTGTTCGGATTGTATGCAAACAGTGTTCTCATGAATTCTGTGCTCGTTGCCATCTAAACTGGCACTCAGGAAGAGGACCTTATGTGTGCGAAGAGTATACCGAGAGTATTTTACCACGAAGTAAAAATAAAAAACTAGGTACCCATTCTAAAAATCAACGGAATTTGCGTGGAGTTTCTAAGAAACATGCTGATACTTTTAGTACTACTAACCACATTGGTATTTATGCAAGCTCAAATCCCGGTGCTTTGGTCAAAAACAAATCGGAATACATCAGTAAAATGAAATCCTTGAGACAACCTTCTGAGAAAAATAGGAAGAAATTATCCTTTTCACGATCCAAAATGAAACAAGGAGGTTATTCACAATCACGTTCTAGCATTCACCTATCCAATAACGACGTCAGTGACAAAATTGATGTTTCGGTTCTCACTGTGGGGTTTCCTCCGTACTCTCCAGATGATTGGTTGAAACGTTGTCCAGCCTGTTTAGTACCTATTGAACGCATTGAAGGTTGTGCCCAAATGATGTGCCGGTCATGTAAACATACTTTTTGTTGGTATTGCTTGACATCGTTGGATGTGAGTGGGGTGTTTTACTAACTTTTTGTCGTGATTAGTATTCGCACAAATCTTATTGTTACTTCACCTATTTTTTATGGTATTTAGTGTAGCTGTACATTTGCCGCATACTGGTAAAGTGTTGTTGGCATATAACCTTACATCACTGTCTAGTACATGTTACTGATTATGGTTGAGTTAGAAGAATATAAAAGCTTTGTAGAAACTCAGGCTAAGGACGTATGTAGTTAGCAGCGCTTCGTTCCGCCATTCTACTTTATGGTTGTGAGATGTGGTCATTAAAAGTTGTGGGAATTAGTAGTTTTTGACCATAGGTATCTCTTCTCAGTGTACATTTGCACAGAGTGCTAAGTTAGGAGGGGAAGTCGACTGATGTCGTTGTGAGGCTCCATTAATTGAGGTGAATAGGATATATGTTACCCGTACTAAACTATCGCCTGCCTCGATGAACGGTGTTAGCTGGAACAAGAATGGATTGGGAACGAGTTGGAGGTGGGCACCAATCCAAGATGACTGTTTTTGATAACTTCCTAAAACTGGTAATATTTTTACTTCACATTCATTGCAAATTACTCACTGTTACTCTCTGTCTCTTTGTCTGTTAGTTACGTGACAACAGTTACAGACTAAAGCGTGTTTAAAAGGTGTAATTCATTTTCATTACACAATATGAACGATGTGATCACATATTTTCCTATTCAGATATTTTATGTGAATATGAAGTGGTTTTGAATGAAATAGCTGTGCAGATATTTATCGTATAAAGCAAAGTATAGAATGAGATTTTCGCTCTTTTAAAGTAGGGTAAAAATGACCATAAAATCTAGTTATCAACAGAGCATGCTGCTAACCGAAATTACATTTATGTGGTAATTGATGTATTCCTAGTTTTGTTGTTTGATATTGAGTATTTCATCAACAGTACCAAATAATTCATTCACTTTTATTTTTAAATATTGTTATATCGTCAGTACTCAGCATCATGGGCTTATCTAATTTTCGCAATAACCTTATGGTAGATAGTTTTTGAAGATGTAATGTTTACAATGCATCACAGTTTCAGGCTGACTTTATCTCTTCGATTATGTTATCTAAATTGTCGAAAAAAGGCTAGTTTCAAGTAGGCGGGTGATTATTTAAGGTCATATGAAAAAGAGAAGACGTTCAGCGAAGAGACTCTTTTCGGCGAATTCATTCACATAGCTGTACAATCGCATTTATATATAATTATTTGAGTGTGTGTGTGTACATGAGGTTTGTCAAAATTAGATAATTGATCAGGTAATAAAAGAATGATCTAATATAGAAACAAAGTTAATTGGACAGCAACTAAATTAACGTTTGAATCCATAAGACCATCCGGCTCAAATATACCACGACTCTATGGACTTCCGAAAGTACACAAGAACGGTATCCCTCTTCGACCGATCCTTGACATGACCAATTCGCCTTATCACCGCACAGCCCAATGGCTAGCAGATCTACTAGAACCAATCAGAAGACAAGTTTCCTGCCACACAGTTCGAGATTCATTCGACTTTATCGACTCAATTGAAAACATCAACGTATCCAACAGGACCATGATCTCATTAGATGTCACATCACTATTCACAAATGTTCCACTGACTGAAACAATATGCTATGTATGCGAACTTATTGATTCCAAAGGAATAAACATCGGTATACCCACCGAGCGTCTTAAAGAACTCCTTCTGAGGTGTACCCTGAATGTTCAATTCTCTTTCAACAACGAAATATATCGCCAAAAGGATGGTATAGCTATGGGCTCACCACTAGGCCCATTACTTGCAGATTTCTTCATGGCAAAACTCGAAAACACATGCATGAAGAAAATGATCGATACCTTCGGAATCTACAAGAGATACGTCGACGACACTTTCATTATCGTCAACAATGAAGAGAATCTAGACGACATCCTGAAGTCGTTTAACAAGTGCCACCCCGCAATTCAGTTCACGCTGGAGAAAGAGTCCAACTCTAAAATATCCTTTCTTGACATCCAACTAACAAGACGAGAACACGATGGAACACTGAAAAGATCTATCTACAGAAAGTCAACATGGAACGGACAGCTGATTAACTTCCACAGTTGGGTACCCCTATACACCAAACGGAACCTGATCCGTTCACTTAGCAACAGAGTTCGCAGAATTTGTACCCCGGACACCGTAGAAGATGAACTGGACAATCTCAAGAGAATCCTCGTCGAGAATTGTTACCCAGAACGATTTATTGCAAAATCTATGAATCCTAGGCCACAAAAGCCGCCCACGCATAGCGTCCCGAAGAAACCGCTCTACATAAACCTTCAATTCAATGGAGATATATCTGCGGAAATACTAAAAAATCGACTGTCGCGCTCACTCAAGAAGACTTTCTTCGCAGCTGAACTACGACTAACTTTCTCCACAAAACCTATGATTCATGTGAACGTGAAGGATAAGCTACCACTGTTGGCCTCATCAATGTGTATCTACCAATTCACCTGCTCGTGTGGAGCCAGGTATGTCGGCCGTACCCAGCGTTCGCTTTCCAAGCGTATCACCGAACACTTACCAGCATGGTTTTACAAAGGAGAAAAGCGATGTCCCCGCAGCTCCATCTTAGAACACCTGATAGAATCCGGACACCAAGCTGCACCCCAAACAAACTTCAAAGTCGTCTACAGAGTAAGAAGTAGTCTTCCAAAAGGTGTACGAATCAGACTTCTTCAAACTGCAGAAGCAATGGCGATTCACTTGCTAAGCCCTGAACTCTGCATACAGAAGAGGTTCGTTCAATCACTAAACTTACAATGGACTTAACCTACATTATTACCTGAAAGGTAAATTCTACCTAATTTTTTTTTTCTGTCTCTTCATTGGTATTATTCTGTCTTCTCAATTGTAATATTTTGCATTTTCAACTTTCTTGTCTCTACCCCTACCCGATTTAATTTCTACACCTCACTACCACTTTAATTGACCTGACCAACGCTCAATTTATAGTCATTTATGTTACGTCATCCAACTTAATTGCTCAATTTCATTTCTAATCTAAATGGCATTATTATCTACCCCACTTCTACTTAGTCTCTACCTGTAATTACCTCTGTTGCTAACCTGACCTAAGTTAAAACATTTTAGTCAATTGTATTACGTCATCTAACTTACTAACTCAATCTTAATTTAGTTGCTGTCCAATTAACTTTGTTTCTATATTAGATCATTCTTTTATTACCTGATCAATTATCTAATTTTGACAAACCTCATGTACACACACACACTCAAATAATTATATATAAATGCGATTGTACAGCTATGTGAATGAATTCGCCGAAAAGAGTCTCTTCGCTGAACGTCTTCTCTTTTTCATATGACTAAATGGGGATTTTCAAGATTATTTAAGGTGATGAGAAATTCGAGCAGATTTTGGCTTGTGTGTGTACTAGTCTGGGTGGAAGTTACTGTAATCGTTGACTTCTAGTCTCTTGATTTCATGTATTATATATCTGTATTTCATGTAGATTGTTTTCATAGTTCTAAATTATTTGATTGTTTTTTTTCCGTAGGACGATTTCTTACTGCAACATTATGATGATGGTGCATGTAAGGGTAAACTTGGACATTCTCGCGCGTCAGTTATCGGTCATCGTGTTTATGTAAGCAAATTTACTTTAGGAGTAAAATATTTCTCTGTAGTGTCATCTATTGGTCATGTTATTGCTTGTTTTTGAGATTTCTTTGTATTACTACATGGTATTGAAATTAAAAAAGGAGTAGAAGATTTACCATGACACTCATTTAAATGTATGTATTCTGATATAATTTTGCTTTCCAAACCTCTGCAACTGAATTATGATCGTAACCTGTGATTTGTCGGTTGAAATTGGGATCCGTGGGTATATTTTAAAATAATTTATATAAATCTAGTGATTTAGATACATGCTACGAATGTGCTTTCAAACTATTCAACGTCTGTCAATCTTAGAAGTGGTCGGGAGGTCACGGTGTGAAGTGAAAGGTAATAGTATTGACTGTTATATGTGGGGGTGCATCATGACTCTCTGAATGAGTTCTGAAAGATTACGCTACTCAGGAAGTTGAGATGTATTTAGACATGTCTTAGGATCGAAATCAGTAGCGCGCATGCCGCAATTTCCTATTTCTGAACAACCTGCCAGATATCCTTAATTATGTTTATCTGCTTTCATTCTGCTGTTCTGTTACTACTTCATATCTTTTGTTATTTTGTATATTTCACCACTTTGTGTTCATACTTTACGAAGTTTGTGTTTTTAAGTACGTAACTAAGAAACTTTGCAAGTCTCCATCTTTCGGAAACTGACTCAAAAACAATTGGTTGGCTCACATTTAAGTAATTCCAACTATTTTAGTTTATTCGAAAATAATAGAGAAATTTTATTTGGTCATATACACAGTGATGCAGTATTACTTATTCACTGATGACGTTTTGAGCAAAATTTATTCCACATATCATATCAGAGTTCTCGGTAAGTTGGACTCTGAACGTCACCACCAAATAACTAATCCTATATCACTGTTTGTCTCATCAAGCAGAAATATTCATTTATGCAATTATATTCTCCAACAGTCCCCATATAATGTTCTCAAACTGTTAAGAATTAGTCCACTATAGGGACTTATTGTTACTAATCAGTTGTACCTGTTGATGTATTAGGGCTATGCCATTCAGCCTACGGGATCATTTTGGGGTCTCAAGGCTTGAGTGATTTTTTCGTAAATTCTAAAAGGTGTCCTTTCACGTCTCTCTAACATGGATCGAGTGCTCCTCCATGCAGGTCTTCTCAGTGATTTTACCCAAGGCTTCTGACTTATTCCTGATGACTGCAGTGAAGGTGTCCTTTGTAATTTCATCCTTCATTTTCTGAGTGTCAAACTTTAATTGTGGTCTATTTTCAGCTTCTCTGAAGGTTTTCAACTTAACCATGAAGGTTCCTTATAGTAGATAATGATCTGAGCCTACATCTCCTCTTCTCGATTTGTTTCCACTTCTTGAAATTGAGATGAAGTCTATCCAAGCTTTGGTGTGTCCGTTTGGTAAAACCCCTAGTCACCTTGTATATATCCTTGTGTTTGCACACTGTCTCCAGTCTCCAAATCAGTGAAGAATCAGATGTCTGAGAAGACTTCTCCTCTCAGAATCGTTTCACTGAACGAGCGCTTATCGATCAATGATGAGTTCTTTTACTCTGCTATGTGCTCCCAGTCTGGCTAACATACATATCACCCATGGGAATTTTGATGTCCCCATCTAGCTGAGGTTTCGTCCATTATTGTTTTCGGTTGTCTGACGAAGTCTTCCCTCTTCTCCACTGGATGTGGGTTGTCACGCTATGCGCAGCAGTGTATATTCAATTGAAACTTTCCTTCTTTTTGAGACGAGTTTTAATGTCAAGATGTTGGTAAAATCAAGATGGACATTTCCTTATTGTTTTCATGGTTGTCGTTTGGGTGATTGGAGTAGATTTTTAACTTTCCACTTAACAATTCTGAGAGTTCATTTGCAATCCATCTGTTCTCACAGGTTCCTAGCACTTTTATGCCATATCTTCTCATTTCTCCTGTAATCACATCAGCCTTACCATCAAATTCCAAACATGATATGGACATTCCATGTCCCTATACTAACTCTTGCTTTCATTGGGAAGAAAAAGGGTTGGTTGCCTGTTTTCCTGAAGGCTCCTACCGGCATCATCTTTTCTCGATTTGAGGAGTTTTCTCAATTTCAGCGAAGAGTAATTTCATTGTTTTCCTGTTTTCTGTGTTTTTAAATCACAGGGGAGATGGGGTTTTTTTTCCAGTGGTGGGTTGCTAGTCGCACGCCTCAAACTTGCCTCTTTTATCGGGCTTATAAGACTGCTTGGTAATTTAGTTGAGGTTTTCTTTGGTTTCATTCATGGTTTTTATTTCTTTCTGTAGTTACTACTTAGCGTTGCGGAAAAATGAGTTCAAATTGCTTACTTAACACTATTCTAGTTAAAATTTCTATCGTGATAACTAATTATTCTGTGCTGCTTTGTTAACCATTGGAACAAAATACATTTTGTGAGCTGTGAACCGTTGCTATTAATTTGCATCTGAGTTGAAGAATGTTAAACAGCACTAAATAAAACTAATATCAGTCCTCGGCTAATACCCACTATCTTTGGTTAATTGTAGTTAAAGATACTTTAAGGGTCAAATCGGTTTTAAATTCTACAGTTTATTTATTTCTTGATTATTCCATGAAAAAGCTAGGAATTTGACACAGGTGGAGACGAAATATTTTCCTTTGTTGGTAACTCCAAAATACAAATGTTCTCTTATTTCAAGATAAATCCTCTTCCACACTTTAACAGTAATTAGTGGGGATAAACATTTATTTCTGGCGCTATTTGCAGCAACTCTAGCTCCTCGTGAAGCGCTTCTAAGGATGACTTGCTAGTAAGCATTTTATATAGTTCTGTAATATATATATATATATAATTCTTTTACGTTCCCAGTGGAACATAAGCTAGAGCTTTGAAGTTTCGGTAGCAGTGGTATTTACTTTTATAAGTTGGGGTTGCTAGTCTCATACCTAACCTTCCTTCTTTACCAGCCATTACTGCCTTAGCGAGTTAAAAGAGTTCGCTGGCCGAGGATCGAACCCCGAGCCACCTACGTGGTTGGCGAGCATTCTACCGCTTATTTGTATGACTTTTCTGTCGACCTTGTTTTAATTTATTTCACTTTCTTCCAGATCAATTGTTGATATTCATTGTGACCTGTGTGAATCCCCGTGACATGTTTAACAAATGAAATGTCTGTCATTGGCTTACTCAGATTTCAATAAACTTGTTAACCTATTCAATCACAGTTATTACAAATTACTTTATTCAGATGTGATATCAAAAGTCGAGCACGAATGGTGTTTGCTATTGCACTTTTATATATTTGGAAAAGTTGGAATTCTATTGTTTTTCTGTTCTCCAAAAGGAAGTAGTGGACGACTCATTGAAAAGTTAGCTTAAATGAGTTATTTTCAGTGTACTTGTGCAACTTGGTTATGTTCTGTTAAATTTAGTCTTCTTTTCTGTTTCATAGGTTGTCAGTGTATTCACCGGACTAACAATATTACTGCTTGTTGCTGCTCCGTTTATCATGATTGCTGTGCCGTGTATTATATGTGCAAAATGTCATCGAGTTTATCACCAACATCGCTTACGTAAGCGGCATTCTCAGGGTTTATATTTAGTCGATGGACGTGCACCGGTTACATCCGATTCTTCAGATGTACAAGTTAACCGAACGGATACACCTCAGCCTGCCTCATCATCGCCACATAACAGTATTTTCATATCGTCTTGCCGATCATCTATTGCCAATATTGATCAGCGGCAAACTGTTGAACAAAAAGCTGACATTCACTGGTTACCATGGCAGGAGTCGAAACATAATTCTCCACGAAAAGTTATGCATAGATCTAAGTCTGTGCCTATACACTGTCACGAGTACTCCAGTAACAACCTAGTCATACCACCGCATACACCTTAGAATTTTCATGCTTCACAACAATTGCATATACATCCATCCATCCATCCATCCTCCAATTGGTTTCATTTACTGTTTTAGAGCCTGCGTGTGCATTGCAACCTTCCTTTCCTATTAAATTTTATATGAACAACCTTATTCATTTCTGTCTCTATAGGATAAAAGCAACATATCTAAATGTTTCATTTCTCAAATAGCTACATATACACATGATTACTAGCTTTGTCAGTTAAGGATAGACAGTGTGATCGAATGTTTCAGGATACTCTTAATGCATTTATCCCCTTTATTCTCATTTTCCGCCCCACTTCCCTTCAACCTCTGCAATACCTGAAATTGTTACTTCTACTACATATTCAGGAGCATTCCGAAACATTTATATTAATAATCTCAGACACTTTGTGCATATACGCATACATATATGTTAATTCATGTGGATGTTTTCCTTGGACATATTTCATTTTTTCATTTTGTTTTTTTTGTTGGTTGCCTTGTTTCAAAGTTATCTGTTAATTTGTAAAAGCAAGATAGATAATGTTGATTGATTGTGTACATATAATTCTACTTATTCATTTTATTTCTTTTGCTTTTTTCTAAACAAAAAATGTATTTAGGATATTATGTACTTGTTTATTTATTTGCTTATTTATTTATTTATTTATTTTCATTGATTTCTACTATGTGCATACTTATTTCAACTTCCTTATAGCTATAAATTTATTTTTTATCTTGTTCTGATATATTATGCATATGCATTCGTAGAGCGGACGGTCGTAAATGTGTAAATAGTACCCCTACTTGGACTATATTATTTGTCCTTTGTTTTTCTGTGTACGAACGCACAGAACGTCACTTATTTATACTCTATTAGCTAGCTGTCACTCCTATCTATCCACACGCAGCGTTTGCAATGAATACTAGTCAAAAATAAAGTTGCATTTGTATTCTTCTTTTTTCTTCTTCATACCTTATTATTCATTTCTGTGATATAGAATCAAATATCAATACTTGTCAATATGAAACGCTAATGTGTTTATAGTGCATGTTCTAGTTGAGGACACCCCTGTCTGTTTTTATGTTGTGCGCATACCTACTTGATGGTTCAGCTCTATCTTTGTTCTTCTTATTTTATTGTTATACTTTCAAATCTCATTGTTTTACATTCCTCTTTCAAAAAAATAATAATAATTCGTATTATGAAATGAATGAGCTCCTTTAGGATGAGTGTTTTTCACTTTCAATTCTTCCGCTGTTTGTTTGTTTATCTTTTTTTCTACAAAAGTTTGTTTATTATTCCAGTTTGTCTCTTTTAATGCATTATATTTCTTTTCTATTTGAGATAATGATAGTTTATAATGTTCGCTTTGTTATCTCTCTTTGAAGTGTTCCGGTATTCAGAGCTAGAGAGAGTGAGAAAAGTAGCTAGGTGTGTTAGGAGATTGAAATAGGTCTATGTGTGGCCAAATATGTTGACGATACAAGAAAAAACAACTTTGTAATCATGCCACTTTCAAAAGCTGGACATTTATTTATATGCAAAAGGGGATTCGTGAAAAAAAATAATCGGATAGCAGTACAGTGTCTTCCAGAAAATCGTTGCGCAGTACAAAAAAAGATTATCTACAAAGGAAGACGGTTAACGTTAAGACAAGGTGTTACGTATTCAGCATGAAAACGACTTAGTCAACCACTTACTACATCTGAGGTTACAACCCTTTGTGTTCGTTCCTCTGGCATGTTATATTCATTCAATGCCTGTGCGTATCCGCTTTTCTGTAATCTGAACTACTGTATCTTTAGAACAGCTCTTTCGTATATGTGACTAACAAACAGGAGTTTGTCTCTTTGTGCGTTGGATGCCTTCAGGAGTTAATTCAATGTCTGATTTATTGTTGGTTTTCTATATACTACCCTCTTTATAAGTAGTATCGGTTTCTTCACAGTTTAAAATGTGAAAATTCACCACTAATTCCTTTGGGAATCTAAAATATTAAGATCACAACACGCGAATGGCAATTAGGACGTGGTATGCTTAGTTGCAAATCATTTGCCTGCTAGCTAGATCGAAGTAATCTAGGTATGCCATTTAGCCTGTTTTAGTCCCAACCTATCGAAACCCTGAGTTGCAATCTGCGGATGTTTGACATACGATTCGTTCCCGCCCAAATGTAAGATGATGCTACAGGACTAGTCTGGACTACATTGACACCTAGCTTATAAATAGGGAGTGAAGTGGTTTTTCTCTTTGAGCGTGTTGACCACTCCACTTATTTGGGGAGTTGCGTTAGTCAACACCAGTGGGTTGATTGCTGATGAAATCTCAGCATGGTGGATACAGAGGACTCGTTTCTCATTTTCCAGTTTACGTGGTCTCTGGTGTAGACGTGATATAAGGTTGGCTATCAACTGAACGGCGTGTGTACTGCTCACTCTGACTTCTTTTATGGCTGTGTATGAGACCTGGAAGTGGAAGACATTAAAGGGTTGGCTAGCTGTCTTTGATCATAGGTGCCTGCGTTCTACCTCCCGTGTGAAGTGATATAATAAGGTGAGCATTATTAAGGTGGGGCCTCGGTCGAATGGTAGGTAAGAAGGGAGGGGAAATCAATTGACGTGGCTATGAAGCATCTGCATCGGTTGAGATGGTTAGGACATATGTGGCGCATTCCTGCCTAGTCATCGTCTTCCTTGGTAGGCAATATTAGCTGACTTAGTATGGATCAAGTTGGAAAAGAGCTAGTGGTGGTCAAACGAAACAGTCAATGAAATCCACACCGGTTCGTTTAAGCAATTCACGTAAGAAAGTGTAGACTTTTTGGATGGTTGGGGTCGTGGGGACGGTAAAAACCAATGGCTGGAAACAATCGGTGATATGACTGAAAATCGTCGTCAATGGCACAGATGCATCCACTCCTTGTGACTTATAATTTTCAATGAAACTATATTGTTCCTCGTTATTACCATTCCTTTTGTCTCATATCCCGGTCTACTGTTTCTATTATGCATTTTTTCTCCTGCTTTGTGTGTTACATGGAGTGTGGTGACTTGAACTGCTGCACATTGCTGCAAAGTTCTACGTTGAAACCGGTCAGAACTTATCAACGGCATACTTTATAAGCGTCAACTCATACCGCCGACTAAAATTAAAGCGTCCTAATTCCGACTATTTTTAAGTGGGTTGGAATTGCACGTAATAGTCATTCCGCTTATTTTTTAAATTGCTATTCATGGTATTATGCTGAGCACTTGCTGTGATTATCTCGAATTTTACCAGAATCAACTGGTGTAAATTTATAGGCTGTTTAGTAGCCTTGGGTCTAGTTGTGTATTAAAGATGGTGTTTCATTGTGAGAAGTTATTTCCTAGCTGTCAGTTGAGAAAATACGTTGTAGTCGGTAACTGAGTAAATTTTCCCAAGTCTTATCACTGACCTATTATTTAAAGTTGCGTGAAGTCCTAAATTTTCTAAGTATGAATACATTCACCAATCGTAGCCATTGTGCAGATCGTTACATGGTTTTCACATTTATTATACACATACTTGGAATGAAGTGACTTACGAGTCTGTTGTTATTATTACTACTACTTTGGAATGTGTAGTTATGGTTATTTTACAATTACTTCCGTTTTCCTGTCGGTCATTTTCACCTTTTATGTATTAATCTCTGCCCTTCTTACACCTCTTTGTCTGGCTGTTTATTTCACAGAGTAGTATGGGGATACTTCAGTGTCGAATTCCCAAAAGCAACTCCACTTAAATATCCTTCTTCAGCAAATAATTGATTGGAAGTAAAGCTTTTGTCTTGATTTTAACATTAAACAATGACTCTTTTCGTTCAGCTGATTTTATGAGTAAAAATTTGTGATGATTGGCCTTGAGCCACATATTATCTTGAAATTAATGATTGTATTGTGCTGGTTTTTTGTATACTATTAATTTTATGCGTAACAAACAGCTGAACTCGTTTTTTTGTATAAATTAACAGTATATGGTATTTTTAAGAGGTAATTCACTATGTGGTTTTTCTTACTTCTACTTTTGGTGGTAAACAGTGATTTTACTATGGAAACGATAATTATCAATGAATGAAGTTGGTGAGTAATACACTATTGATCCTGAGGATGAGGATATCATTGTTATTTGTTAATCTTTAGGCATTTGATCTATTGCAGTGATAAAAGCTGGTTTTTTTCTCCTTTCTGTCTGCTTACTATCGTAGTTTACAATAGTAACCATTTTTGTTTTTCTTTTATCCGTTTTATTTCACTATTTGGGATTTTTGATGTGCTGCCTAAGCGGAAGCATTGTTACTAAATAACTATTCCATAAAAATTCATTAGGAGGTTCTAGGAAACTCATAATGAAAGAAGAAACGGTAGTGAAACTATAACATAAATAAGAAGGAATTTAAAGCATCCACAGAATTCCTACATCAGGGAAATAACATCTGAAACTCTACATAGGATTCTCTTAGGGACAAACTCTGTAGGCTTAAGGCCCCCTTTTTACTCAATTAGTTAAAATTATCTAATATACAAACTATCTTGCAATGATTATCACGACAAATACATGAGTT